AATTAATTTATTTTACCAATTATATACAAATAAATAGAATTAATTTTGTAAATAAAAAATTTATTATAAGTTTTGATATGTCATACGAGAATAAATATTTAAGAAACGGTACTATTCTTAAAGTTTTCAAAAGTGTTTGCTTTGTTTCGCTTGAAATGTATTTATTTTCTTTGTCTCGAGAATTGATGGCTTTTTTGTCATAAATTTGAGGTAATCGTGAAAAGAGTGAACACATGTCTCGAGTATTGTATTACAAAAGACCACTTCTTGGAGGAAAGTGTTGAGCGAAATACTGTCCGCCAAAACAAAATCGCACTCCAATTATGAGTAATTAGAAACAAATGCTTTTAATTTATGAAAACTTATGCTTTTGGAGAAATTAAAACTTAATTTTTTATGCTTTTTTGTGACTAAACTTTCCGTTTAGCATAAAATCAAAGTCAAGTCAAACGATTAGTTTGAATGGCTATGAGTTGCGAAGTCGACCCAAATCTAGTGAACATTGAAAGGCATCCCAGAAATGGGTCGTCGATGTGAGGGATGCCCTCTCCCTCTCTCTTTGCCTTCTTTCCTATGGACGACACCTAACCCTTAACTCTCAAGAAAGACTCGGAGACTGACTCTCGTGTTGATGTTAAGTGAAAACATAATTTTTTTCTCAGAGACAAAGGGATCTCATGATTGAATAAATGGGACAAAAATGCATTTGATTTGGTCTTAACGGTAATGATTGGGTGTTGAAGTGACAGACACTGTATTACTGTGTATTATAGTCTAATATGAATACTATAAAGCATTTAAAAGCTAAATGTTTTGACGCCAATAGCGGTTGTGTCGCCACAAGTCTCTTAGCGCTATAGGGAAGGCCTACAGTGTTTGGCCTACAGTCGCAGTGCTGTAATGCAACACTGCATGTGTGTCATATAATAGTAAGGTTTGAGTGTATGTGGGGTTCAAGCGGAGTTGGAGTGTAGTGTGCAGTGTTTGTGAGCCAATACACCAGTCAGTCGTGCAGCCAGTGTTACAGTCAGTGCCACACTGCATACACAGCGCAAAGCCTCCACCACTGTTGTGCCCGTTGTGCGGCGAACACACTGTTGCGCACACACTGTAGTGCGAGAGCAGCCAAACCGATAGACTCGTCGTACAGCGAGCCGTCAACAATATTACGCGTGTGTTGTGTGGCTGTAGTGCATGTATTGTAGTGTTTGAGCCGTTTATACACAACACTAAAAATGGCCGCAAATGAAGATGAACTTCATTACATCGAAGTGTTTCAGAACTGCTTCAACAAGATCGCCCACAAGCAGCAAGGTAACATCTCCACCATACTGTCCCCCTCCCTGTCCACCCGACCCAAACACCCCACCCATCCCCCCGCCCGGCCACCCACGAGGCCCCCCATCGCTCCAATGCATCACTACTTTCACTATTGTTTTACTGTTATTATTGATAACAAACAACTGTATGGCAGTCGAGCCCACACAAGCATCCCTGTCCCCGAACCTGCCAGCCCTCCCCACCCCTAACCCCCACTTCCCCACCACTCTGGCCGTGCGTTCAAGTGATGATCACTTGTTCCTCATGTGTATGTCTTGTATGCGAGACAATAGACCATTGGGTGGATGTGTTGTTTGCCGACCCATCCATTCAATGCATTTAAATGACAACATGTGTCCACCAATTGCTCGCTATTTGCCACTAGTTTTATCACTTATTACCGCAGTTTTAGCCACTATTTGACACCCAATTGATCCTCTCTTTTACAACTTTTACTGACAATTCAACTCTTTTTGATAATCACTGTTTGCCTTAATTGTGACTTTCATTCATTCAATAGTCTATTTGCAATGCAATGCCATTTGATTAGCCATTCATTCATTTCAGGATCTATTCATTGATTAGTATATGAATTGAAAAATTATTATATTTTTTGTTTTGCACAAACTTTCGCTTCAATTCCCATTTAATTACTAATTAAACAAAAAAAAAGCTAAACTATAATAATGTCTTTTTTTTGTTTAACATCTCTATAATGAGTTTAATGTATAGAAAATATATCGCTTTTCTGTACATAAAGTTGTTGTTAATTATAGGAGAAATTATTTTTTATATAAAAAGAGACTATATTTTTAATTAAAAGTTAAATAAAAAACATTATATGAATTAAATTGTAATTTGAATAAAGGATTTCGTAATTAAATAATAGTTTTGAAGATAGAAATCAATACTCGTTTGAAATCAAAATTAATACTCAATTTTGACTTTAGATTCAATTTTATTTTTTTATTTTTAATTTCAATCAAGTATTTAATTTCACAAGAATTTTAATATTAGCTAAAAGTTAGTGAAAAATAAAAGTGAATATTGTTTTTGATGGCGAGCGAGTCGACTGTCCCAATAGCTCCTGTAGGCGATTGTCCAATGGTGATGAGAAAGGTCCCTGGGTGATTTCTGGGCACATTCTTGAAGTTATTTTATTATTTGTTGTATTTCTGAGAATGGGTTCGAGGAGTGAATGGTAGGGATATAGGGATTGGATGTGCTTTTGATAGCCATAAGAAGTGATTGTTGTTTGTGTTTATCTAAGCCTTAGGCATAAATCAAAGCCTTCTTCGCATACAAAACGCATATTTATTTGACGCCAAAAACTGAATCCTCTCTTCAAAACCTCTTCGGCTAATGAATTGCTATTTTTAGCCCTAATTTTTGTGGCAATCGTTTGATTTTGTTTCACGAAAAGCCATTAATTTGCGAGTAATTGTCTCATTGTCTCAATTAATTGATCCCCAAAAATGACAGACAAAAGTCGTGGCGATTCCATGCCTTATGTGATGCCTTACGGGTCTTCAGGTGACTCTCACTCTCACGAAGAAGTACTCCTGCAAATGGGACAACCCGTGCAGGGCTCACACCCGCCCCAAACTGGTGTCCCCGTAGGAGTACAATCACATTATCACCAATTAGGTGGTGACCATCATATGCACCATACGCACCATCATATGGCACCTCCGACCGGCCCTAATGGCACTCAAACTCAATCCAGTGCTTCGGATACACAATATTTCCCACCGTTTTGTGATACACAAAGAGGTAACCATTGATTACATACACAATACACCACACAATCACTCATTTCACTCACACTATGAACATAGCATTCATACATTCATTACTCTCAATAAGCGCTCATTAAGTGTAGCACTAATTGTTTAATTGTTGACTAATTTGTCATTAATTACAGATAAATGTATACATTTGTCGATAATTTGTAAAACATTTTTCATAATAATTAGCGAAATATTCCGTATATTATTAAATATCATTGCATTTATCGATTGAAAGCAATCATTAATTGAGTGAAACACACAGTAATTAATAGAAAATGATTCAAATCATTAGATAATTCGTACAAACTTTGATTAACACCTGTCGGCAGACAGATGATGACAAATCATGTCTGGCGTGTGTTTTGAATGGGTGGTCAACCCTTTCGCACCGACACGTCTAGCATAACAGACCCAATGTCTCCATAAATAACCTAAATATAGCTATAATTAGAGTTTTGGGTATACAGTAAATGAATGCTTTCTCTTTCAATGCAAACTTGAGACAAATCTTTTCAATTGAAATGAATAATTGCTTTTTAAATACATTATGACATAAATTGTCGGCAATTGTCGTACAAATGGATTGACTGATTGATTGCATAACCGTAGGCACACTGTATGGTTCGGATGCATCGAGTTATTACTTAGACTCGGGTGACTGGAACGGACAGTCCAATTACCACGCCTTCGGACCCCCGCAGCCGCAAACGCCACAACCAGTACAGGCATCTCCCGTCTCGTCGGTGTCGAGTGGAGGGGTGGGAGGTGTGGGTGCAGTACCGACTCAGGCATATCTTCACGACAATATCTACGAAAACAGTCCAATTATATCAAGTCTTCCTCCAATGTCCTCATTTCGCGCTCAAACGGGCCCATCGGTAGCGCACCCGACAGTCTCGCCCTCATCTGTGTTCGTCTCGCCGACCGGTACCACCACCAGCGGGTCGCCCAGTCTTACCACTCAGTCCGCGTCCGGAGAAGCGATCGGTAAGGCGTTGGCCAGCATTTACTCAAGTGGTTCGGGTGTCGCCAACGCTGACCACACGCCGAGCAGCTATTCCGGATCGGCCTCATCCACGCCAGTCTCCTCTCCTCAGACATGGCCCTCAAGACTGACCACTACTACCACAACCGCTTCATTTGCCAATACCACTGATGCAACTGACGCTCATTTGCATACTTTGGTGAGTATTTCGTGAGACATCTCTCATTGCAATCAATAGATTTTTTCGTTGTTTTGCACCCATTTATGGCATGTGTTTAACAAATGATATGATTTGCTCTTTTGCATGATTTTGACAATCATTTTGTGTTGTGGTTATGAATTCAATGTTGCAATGAATGCATTGAAACATACATATAATGTAATGAATGCATGGGTTGGCGACACAGCAATCGGCACAACTCGATGACCAGTTCGAAGATGCCATTCATTTGTTGAGAGATCACACAGAGGTATGACGACAAACACACAAACATTTCTTGTTTTCACAAACATTTCGTTTCCGTTCATCTCTTATTTGCCTCAATGTCTGCCTTTTGAGTGAAATTATTGTTTGAAATAACAGTAGTTTTCTTTAATAACTGTATTGATGTAATGGACTAATGGTGTGATTGTGTTGTAGCACTCGAGGGGTGTGATGGGTGAACGTCTTGATGATGCCATTGATATTCTACGCAATCACGCGGAAGGGGCGCCCAATTATCTCACTGCAAACCTAACTCAACTCGAGAGTCATGTGGTATGCATTGCGTCGGACGTAGTGGTTGACCCGCAAAGTGGTAATCCATTTGCTTTTGACAATTCACAGCCAAGTCCTTCAAGTCTAGAAGCAGGTCGTAGTGGAGTCGTAACTAACGTCAACCCGAGTCAACTGAGGTGCGACTCCGCGCCTCCACCGACAGCCCCCACCACCAGTAAAAAAGGTTCGGCGCGATCCACGCCCAACGCCAACGGCAGTAACAACGCAAACAGTCACGGGAAGGGCTCAAAACGGTCCCGATCTCGATAGTAAGCATACGATTAGAGTCCTAATCATAGTCTCTTTCACTCCATTTATTAATGATGATTATTTTGCAATTACTGCTCCCAAAGCAGTAGTTCTGCCGATGAGGACGACCCGCCGGAGATCAAAGTGGAGCGCGAGAAGGAGCGCCGACAGGCCAACAATGCTTTCACTCCATTTATTAATGATGATTATTTTGCAATTACTGCTCCCAAAGCAGTAGTTCTGCCGATGAGGACGACCCGCCGGAGATCAAAGTGGAGCGCGAGAAGGAGCGCCGACAGGCCAACAATGCCAGGGAACGGTAAGCAAACGCTTGTTTTGTTTGACTGTTGTTTTATACGAAACGGTTTCAAGTGATGAGAATCTTTCCCCGACTGACAAATGCTAGATATAATAGTATTGGAGACTTATATCATTTTTTTCTGATTGAGATTACATACCAATTATTAGCGTATGATTTGTTTGACAATTAAAATACTGACCCTTTTGTGTGACTTGTGTTGCATAGGATTCGTGTGCGCGATATAAACGAGGCGTTCAAAGAATTGGGACGAATGGTAGTGATTCACCTGAAGTGCGACAAAGCGCAGACCAAACTCAATATTCTGCATCAGGCCGTGGATGTGATCACTAGTTTAGAACAACAAGTTAGAGGTCTGTCCCCTGCTAGTCATGCCATGGTTTGCAGTACTGGTATTAATTGGTTGTATGATTTGCTTGAAATCAGAACGAAATCTGAATCCAAAGACGGCGTGTCTGAAGAGGCGCGAGGAAGAGAAGTCTGAGGAGGCGAGCGGTGGGGGCCCTAAGTTTGTCCATCACATGACTGCGAATCAAACTAATCCTAATGTTAATGCCATATCTATAG